CCTGGTGCTGCCTGCTCACCTGCTCCACCATCCCACCGCGATACTGCTCTCATCAGGGGCCCATTGGTGCTGTCAGCACCTCCACTGCTGCCTGCTGCCAACGCCGCATCACCAACTCCCGCCATGTTCCACGCCACCCCCTGGTGGTCAGCACACGTCATAGTGAGTAGTCGAACTCCCAGTCGAGGGGGCAATTTGCATATTAGGCTTTTATTATATAGGATTCTCAGATCTGGGAAAGTTGTTGGCATTACAGGGCACATCAGGGCTTAACCGATATCCGCAGCTCCAAACTATTTTACGTCAAAACAATAAGTGCTGTCAGCTACCCAGGAGACTCCACCCCGAGAACCTGCACATTGCCGTGTACTTTTTAAAAATATATATATATTTTATTGATTTTTTTACAGAGAGGAAGGGAGAAGGATAGAGAGTTAGAAACATCGATGAGAGAGAAGCATCAATCAGCTGCCTCCTGCACACCCCCTACTGGGTATGTGCCTGCAACCAAGGTACATGCCCTTGACCAGAATCGAACCCGGGACTCTTCAATCCCCAGGCCGACGCTCTATCCAGTGAGCCAAATCAGTGAGGGCGCCGTGTAGTTTTTTAAAAAAATCAGTCCCCTAAACAACTCTTACCCAAGAAAGTCTTGTGATGTGAACCTGATTTTTTTTTTTTTTTTTAGTGAGAGGAGTTGTCATTTACAAGCAGTTATCTCTTGTGAGTAAGTAGGCTTAGCAAGATACCCAAATGCAAATACAGGGCAGTTGGGCCCCTTTTGCCCTTGCGGAAGCCCGACCCGAGCACTGGCTGACAGAGGCCATCGCCTCGCACAGTCAGGTGTCTGGAGAGGAGCCAGGGCTTCAGATCTCTCCTCTCTTCCATTTGGAGGTTAGCATCATTAGCACCTCTCTCAGGGATGAAGTCCCCTGAGGGACTCCCCGTTAGTGAAATGTGGGCCTGTGACCTGGGCTACACACCGGGGGGCGTTTATTCTCACCCTGTGTGGCCAAGGCTGGAGCCTCGCCCCTCCCTATCTCCCAACCACCTTGGTGTGATTGGGAACAATGACTGCAAATGCAGTTTAAAAGTTGCCCCTTTGAGAACTCAGGAGCGATGCACCAGGTACTGAGGACTCTGCAGCCACCTTGACTCACAGACAAAAACCTTGAACTTTGTGGAACCAGTTTGCAATACATCCAAAGTGAGAGCCGCGCTGGACTGCCCTGTGCGCTGGAGGCCTCTTCATTTGCTTTCAGGCGGGCCTTTGGGAGCAGAACAGCCTCTGGACTGAAAACCTGCAGTGACTTGTGAACAACTGAGAGGCAGCAGCGGAGGCTCCTAGGAAAAGGGTGGACCTCCTGCTCATTTGAGGAGGAAGCGTGAAGTGATTTTAATTTGAGAGAATAAGGTATTTGATCTACCTATGAGCGGGACCATGTTCGCTTAAAGGAGGTTTAAAGAGGATGCTGATGACATTTCTGCAAATGTCTGGAACATTTTATTTGCTTATGAATCAACTCGTCACCATGCAGTTGGCAAGTTTGTTTTAAGGTGTCTGACAACAAAGAACCAAAAAAGCTGATTTCTGAGGTTTTCTTCTTTTTTATTAAGAACATATAAGCATGTTTTGCTAGACAAATCAAGGTCTCCAATTCAGATACTTAAGGAATTTTTAGAAGAATAAAAACAAAGTTCTGGCTCTGTGTGAGGTTTGAGAATTGGTCACTTATCTGAGAGCTCGTGCATCTGCAGCGTGTGGTGACAACACCTTGCCTTTAGGTGAAAGGAAGGAAGCAAGCTCGTTACAAGCAAGGAGCTTGTACTTTCTTGGTCCTGGTGTGGCTAGGATGTCTCAGATCTGCGCATTGCTTTTCCCTCTACAAGGGGAGACTATATATCCCACACGACCAGACCTGTTATTTGAAGACTAGTCCTTGTGTCTCACACAGCGCAGCCTCGCCGTGCCAGGGAGTCCCGGAGTGTGGACTCTGGGTCCGTGTGTCCCACTCTCTGCCTTTGCTGTGTGACCTGAGGACAGGTGACTTCTCTGGGCCTTCGTTTCCTCATTTGTATGAGGAAGCTAGTCATATCTTCGTCCTGAAACTGTTGCGATGTTTGAGTAAAAGAATACATAGAAAAATGCAATTGTCTGAAGCATGGTAAGCCCTCACTAAATGGTAATGTTAACATAAAAACAAACATTCAAACCTATAAAAAATTTTTGTGAGTTTATTTGAGCCAAACTGTTGACAATTGCTAGGAAGCAGAACCTCAACTGTTTGAGATAATGCTCCAGAGAATGGCGGTTTCTCATCTATTTTTATACATTGCAATCAAAGGAGGGATGTAGGTGGGTTACATGAAATCCACTGGTGATAGATTAGAGAGGCGGGAGAAAGCAAAGCAGGAGGTGGGGTGGGGGGGGGAGGAAACCCCTGGGATTGGATAAAAAGTAAAATGATAGACACATACTTAGGTAGGTGCAGGAACAAGTAACATGATAACAATGAAGGAATCTGTCCTGGCGCCCAGGCACATTAGGTTGTACCCCAAAGGGTCCTGAAAAAGGGAAGTTACAAGTTACCCAGACATTTCAAGGGTATGTTATAATAGATGCAAAAAGACAGTTGGGCTCAGTTAAGGTAACGGTTGACTTTGTCAGTGAAGATACGGGTTGAGGATGTAACTGCCCACCATCACTGCTTTTAGTTAAAGTTTAATTTCAGACCATCCTTTGTGGTGACTTTAGGTCTGAGTTTGCAAGACCGCCATGCAGGCCTCCCCTGAGCTGTCAGGTCAGCGTGTGGCCAAGTGAATTATTGAGAATAGGGGCAGTTGGTGTGGCCATCACTCACCAGTCTTCCTATCTATATATATTTGTAATTTGTATGGTGTGTATAATTTACATGGTTTGCATATAATTTATATGCTGCATAAATAATTCATATGATATACTGGTGTATTTATTTATATTTACTCCCTAGTATAGGCTTAACAAGTTGCAAGATACCTGCAATTTGTGTTTTGTCAGAAGTAGTCTGGAATAAGAGAAAGGGGTAAAAAAGAGAATTGGGAAGGGAAGGAATGGAAGAAGGGCAGTGTAGCATAAAGAGGAAAGGAATTAAAAAACAAACAAAACACAGAACAAAGTGCAGGCAGGACGCTCTGAATCAGAACCAGAGAGGAGAGCGTTTTCTGTCTGGAGGGGAAGCCTGATGCCCCCCCCCTGACA